CGCCTCGAAGAGCATACAGACATATGTATGTAGGCGAAGTTCAAGTTCCTTTCCATGAAAACATTTATAAATACGTTTGCGGCCACAATCCACTGCATAGGATTACACTTGTCAACCATAATTCAAACAAATTAGTCATTGGCATAATTTTCTGCCGTCGCTAACGATACGCCGCTCCGTATGAATATTTGTGCAAGCATGTTTGCGCGCGCATAATGGGCAAAATTCCTGTTTGCGCATACAGCGCATAATATTCCAAAGTAAATTGGCGTGCGCACACACACAAACACTCAGCGAGTTTCTCTGTTTGTATTGACGGCTGTTGTCATTATTATCAGACGCCATATTTTATGTGATTTCTCATGGCACCAACGCCTAACTGCTGCTACCAGAATGAATGGGTCGATTTTTGACGGCCACCACAACTACTGTCATGCCATGTGGTGCGGCGTATTCTTGTCGCACTCGCTCATCTAGATACACATATGCACGCACTTTACGCTTTACGCGCTCACAATTGCTGGGTAACTGACCTTTTGTTGTGTGTGCGTGCGCGTATGCGCGTCTATAGGCAGCGGTGATAGTAAGGGGAGGAGTGCGCTTGGCTTTTCGCTTTCCGCCTTTGGCCTGTCCAAAACGGGAGAATTATGGTTTGTTTACATTTTTGCGCGTGGCAGCCGGCAAATATTCGCTAGTAAATATCCATACACCACATACATACATACTCGTATATTTGTATAGAAGGAATTGGCGCGAACGAGATAGCGCATACTACAACGCTGCTATGTTAAATTAATATGTGCGCGCCTGTGTATGCGAAATGTATTTAAATGGTAGTAAATACCTGCGCCACGACCGAAGTAATGTATGTATGCATATGTGCGGGGTGTAGCGCCTATTATACGCGTTGTGAAAGCAAAATTTATGATGTGCGGTTTTTTGGGCAGAAAGCGCTATCACTAAGTCTGTGTGTGTGTGCTTTTATTTTGTAAGATAAATGTATATGCGCTTAGTTGGATCTACATATATAAGTGCTTATATGTACATATAATACATTTTGTTATGTATTTCTTTAGTATGCTGTTTTGTCCACTTTTATGCGCTGCTGGATCTTTTAAGACTTTGTTAGTTTTAACAATATAATTGGTGATCGCAATATGCCACTTACAGCGCTGTCGCGCGACCTTCGTGGTCAATGCGACATTGAGTACATGAACACTTACAAGCTTTTGGAGCTCAAAGTTTGCTAAGTTAACATTTATAAGTGTGCGTTAGTTACTTAATTGCAGTATAGCTTTAATTATATGCTGTGTATTAAGTGCGAGTTGTAACTATGTATTAAAATATAATTAAATTACACTTAAAATTACAAAGGCAAACTATATATACAAAGGAGCTTTGTTTTCTAAGTAGTTTTGAATGCAGCTTTTAATAATAAGCTTAAATACAAACGTTGTTAATTGAATTTAAGAATGTGGTTTAACAAAACTTTATAGCTTAGAAGGCTATGTGAAGTAAAAAGTCATGTTAGTCAGTCAAATTAATTTATGAGCTTTCAAGCATAATTTGATTCAAATTTTTAAATATCTCGAAATTATTTAATTGTTTTAAAGAAACCAGAGGAATTGAAAACATGTCGGAATATAAAGTTATACCAATAACCAAAATCGTAACTTTACCACGTCTAATCGAATGAACTGAAAGCTTCCGAAAAGCTCTTTTTGTCAAGTTTAAATTTGCGAATTAGGCTCAATTTACCTAATCATGCTTAAAACTTGTTTAAGTCTCATAACCAGTGTCTTTATAAGGTCAAAAAACAGTTTTAACTGAGGACTAGCAGTACAAGTAGGTCTAAACTACAATACTTCTCCACTTCGGTTTTAAGAGGTTTACATTAAAGCAATCAAAGTAATTCCCAAATCAATGCTTAACTATACCAAAGCTTTCTGTAGCCTATTTTAACAAAACAATGAGGACTAACGCTAAATTGGGTATAATCTATTATAAAGCTTTTTTTTAAATTAAAAGCTTTTTCTAATGACTAGAATAAATTATTAATTACTATAAAACTTTTAATTTTAAAAGATCCCAAGTTCTATTCGAAAACTACAAACAAATTTAAAGCGAAGTCTAATAAAATCATATAATTCCACATACTGAAGGCTGCGCTGAAATCTGTCATTTAATCCTCTCAGACTAATTTAGAAATCTCTGTTAGTCTCAAACTTCATAATAAGCATACTTCAAATTTTGTTTACTTAACTTATTCTGTGAATAATCCCTGTCTAGATAGTTAGAGCGCGTAGCGCCAGCATTTTAATTAGCTGCACAAGCTACACATATAAACACGCTCTACTTTAACGACAGCAGTTGAACAAATTTGCGCTAAAGCACGAGCTAGAGTTGTTAAAAATTGCGGCTAAACGCTACTAGCGCTAATGTGATTTTATTATTTTTTATGATTTCGCGCTTTAAAGCGGCCAAATCGCAGTGAGAGCATCACTTTAAATATAAGCTCACTGCCGAGGTATTTCGGCTACTGTTTCGACTGGCTACAAACCTAAATGTGAAAATCCAGATGTAATTCGATACCATTTCTTGGTATAGTATACACATATGGGGTTATAAAATACTAGAAGCGAGTTGCAGGAATTGGTTCTGGTAGATTTTATTATGAACAAGCTGGAGCTGGTTGTAGAGTGTATATTTAAAGAAATCGTTGTTGCTCACCTAAAGACTGGTGAATGCGCTCTATAAGGAAGTAAGCATATAAGTGAGTTTTGGAAGATTTATGTAGAACAACATAAAGTTGACCGGAAAAAAAAGTAAAAACTAAAAGACGAAATGGAATAATTATAATAATGGAAACGCGCGTTAGGCATGGAGTGTGGCCACTGATCTGGCGCGTAATGGATATTGACGCAAGGCAAGTGAGATGTGAGTGGTGTCTGTAAGTTGCACGAAAAAAAATGAAGCGAGATAAAAATATATAAATTTCTATGCGGCCTCCAAAAGCAGGAATATCGCTTATTTTTTACTACTATTATTAAATTTTACGATGCAAGTACTTTTACACTTCATTTTTCATTCGCAAAGCCATACCACTAGTATGCAGTAGAGTCATAAAATCTGACAGCTGGATGCATATACAAACGAGCAAGAGGCTCAATGCGAAGACGCGTACACAAAAAACGCAAGCTATAAATATGAAACAATGAATCGATGAATGAACAGTGGCGGCAGACTCAGGAGCATGCGAAGCGCTAGCGCAGGAGCACGGAGATCATAAAAATTGACATAGCACGGACGCGATTCCCAGTTATGTCTATTTACTTCGGCGCGCTAGTTAACGCGATCGGAGAAAGAGCGCCACAATCTCAGCTGTTACTTACGCGCTAGTTCGTAATCTAGCCTTTATAAAAATATATATACATGTAATAAATCAATAATGCGAAAGTTTTATTACGCGCGCGCGCAAATGTACAATCACGTGCCAATATTAGTGCGCGTTTAGTGCGTTGCTCGTTCAACCGCTGCCATAGTATATTAATAACATTAGAGTTTGCAAGAATGCAGCGCACGAGAAAAAATAAACCGTTTGCGAAGTTAAGCTGCCGCTATAAACTAAATAAACGCGCTGATATGTAATTACTATATATGTTATTTTATAAGTATTAGAAGCCAGCGTCTATAAAGTACACTTTCGACTTTTTCTTTACCTCTTAAAGGAGGCGTCTCTGCGCACGTACCGCCGACAAGGTTGCTTTCAACAATCAATCGATTTTCACTGCCACCGCGCACCACAACCACTCTATAGAAATCTCTAATATTTATCGACAGGTCACGCGCGTCCTCAAATACCTGCCACCGTCACGTCGCCAGAGTAGCTTCAAATTTCAGTCAAACTCATTAAAGTGATCTTTTAATATTTAAACATTCGAAAGCGCTGTGCTATCGTTTTGACTAGTAGCAATTTGCGCAGATTCGCGCACATTGTGGGCGTACACAGTTTACTCCACTCGTCTAATCGAACGTGATCGATCAAGCGAACGCGCGGGAGCCGTCAAAGTCTGAAATTCCAATTTCTGTGATGATTTTGTTGACAACAACAACAATGCGCAAAGCAATATAGACAAAGAGAGATGTGTCGGCGATGACGTTGATGATGTTGCTGTTGATATTAAAGATCATCGGCTTTTTCTGCTTTCGTTTTCGTTTCAAAGTGATGGAATACGCTCAAGGTGTAGACAGTTTTTGTACAACCTCATATGGGCGCGTGTGTGTATATGTGGTGGCAAGTGGTCAGCGCCGTAATCATGTGGACACATTCTATTGAAGTGCGGCCGCTTCAATTTTGCAGCCTCTGCGGCGAAGGAGTGTTTTTAATTAAAATTAAAGTTTATAATGGGTTTTTATCAGCTGCCCTTCCACAAGTCTTAAATTAAAAAGAAATTTCTCATTTTCGGCGCAGCGCTACGCCATTTGCTCGTGGTGTAGAGCTTTAAGTGGGCGTGTCCGGTACGCACGTACCATCAGATTAGCGCAGCTGCTTGTCGGTCTGCCGATATAAGGTAAGTTTAGTATTTAAAATGAAAGGGAAACAATTTTGATTGATGTTACGCAAAGTGCTGAGCTTATGACGTAATACTACAACAATAAATTCATTATAATTAATTTATGTGATTTAATAATGCTACCGTTGAGCAGATTTCATCACGCAATATCAGTTCATATATCATATAGGTATATATATGTGGGCATGTTGTTGTTATTCGAGAATGAAAGTGTGCCTTGAACTGTTAAACGACCAGAAATTGGAACCTGTTCCATAAATATAGGCATGCTGCAACTTGGCGTTGAAAATTGGGTAAAAAAATCATATGATTTGTACAATTAATGAAAAGATCGTTTTGAAAGTCAATACAGAAGAACATAAGTTAAGTTTAAGTTGAGTAATAGCAATAAGTATAGTGTTAATGATGCGATGAAATGTGACTTACCATCATATGTTAGTTCTGAAGGATTTAGTGATGATAAGAACTTACCATCTGAAAGGAGAAAGGAATTTTATGTTGATTATTAAACAATTTTTTCATCGAAAAATTAATAAAATAGTATAAAATATTAAAAATTAGTTTATAAAATTACCAATTAACTGTATTTTCATTTAAAAAAAGGAGAGTAAAGCCATTAATTAATTTTCATATTTCTTAAAAAACAATTTAGTACCTTATCTCAACCTCAAGTTTAAGCTTAATACTAATAAAATCTTAATCTTAAAATCTATTTCAATTTGAATCCCAATCTCAACCTAAATCGCAATATCATTCTCAAACTCAATCTCAATCAATTGCAATCTAAATCTCATTTAAATCTCAAATTCAATCTGCATTTTAATTTCAATCTCAAGCCCAATAAATATTCGCGCATATTTAGCAAGGAAAACCCCTCCAACTCTAATGTATCCATGGATACTAACAGGCATTGATACTAACAGGCAGCCTTTATTAATTAACTATATTATAATAAGCAACACAAATAAGTTTTCGAACTCTTTACTAAAGAAATAAATTAAAATCTAGAAGAAAGGTTAAAGTTTTCGAAAAAAAATATTTTTTTGCAGTCTAGTAATTAAGCACAAAACTGCAAATATTTATTTTTTTTAATTGACAATGTTCCCTCAATAAAGCAGCACGTACTTCACTTGCAACACCAGAAAGTGACAATGGAAATACCGGAGCATGTAAAGCGTTCAACATACATTGCTGATGCATTGCTATGTGTTTAAATACAGTAAATGTACAGAAAACAACAACAGCAAATACCAAAAAATAAGTATAGTACGCAGCAGCCATTGCAGTGCTGCGCCAGCAAAGGAAGTGGCAGGTGCGGGCGGACGGCGAAATTTCATTTTGGACGACAGGTGATAAATAAATCGAATGCCATATTTAGGCTGTGGCGCAAAGTGATCCCTTTTAGCAGGCGCGCCACACTAACTGACGCACTGATTACTTGTGGCGCACTGGCGAAGCGCTATTGCTGCATGAAGCTGCCACTGTGGAGACGCGCGCGCGCGCTTCTACGACTTACACAACCACGGGTGCAGCGCCATTTTGTATGGTGTTGCATTTAATTGTATAACAATGCCACACAAAAACAAATCAACTGCCGTGCATTGCACCTTGCGCGCAACTTGTTGAAACAACCGGGACAATCAATGTCGTTGAAAGCGTCGCGCTGTGTTGGCGTTGATGAGGACACACTAGAAGCTGCGCGTTTATCTTTTGACTTATATTCGTTTTCTTTTTTTCTCCCTCAAATAATGAATTTTTTGTTGCTGCCGCGCGCGCATTTTTAAAAGGTGTTGCACAGTATGAATTGCTTTTTCTTCAAGACAGACAAACGACAGCGATTCAAAAGAGTGCAAATTGCCGCCAAATCGTATGCGCACAGTGACAATTGACCGCGGCGTGGCATGCAGTTAAGAACGTCGCCGTGGCAGTATGATGGCACATTTGCACATTTGCCATGACCATGTGGATGGTGAGACACTATGCGCGCGACCGCATTCTGACATTAATTGCGGGTTAATTTTAAGCTTTGATTTGTACACATTGCAACCCGCAAGCGAACATGGCAAAACGTTGCGCTGCGGCACGCAAAGCAGTGGCGCCGCGCGGCGGTGTGGCAGTGGCAGCGGTACTGCTAGTGACTGTGCAGTCAATTTAAATGCAAAATGATGCATGAACTGTGCGGCGCGCTGCGGCCACTGTGCCACAATGCATTGACAATATTGACAGCGAAATTATTGCTAAGTGCGGTTAATTATAGTGATTTATTTGCCGATCAGTTGATACGATATGCGGGCGAATGTGCGCCGCCACTCGGACGCGTATTGTCAGTAGCAGTCAATTGGTGCACCGAGCGCATAAATAAATAAGCGGCAAAGTTAATGTGGCAACTTGATGAGTGGTGCGCCGAGCAGTTTTGTTAATTTCTTGCCTTTCGCTGACTATATATACATATTTTTTTTAAAGTATCTGAGATGCAGCACTGCAGATAGCCAAGTAAGTGGCAAATGTATGCAGCACTTGCAACGCTGCCATTGCTAATTGCAACAAATCGCTCAATAATGGTATGATACAGGTGTAACTAGTGCAAATACAATACAAATTAAAACGAGTTGAATCTAATGTAGCAGCAGTAAGCGCTCTCGTATATATTTTCTTATATACATAGTTGTATCAATAACACTAATCACGTGTTATTAGCAGCGCCATATTATAATTCATGCAACATTGAAACGTGTTGTGTGAGCGCCAGAATCATCACTATACGTACATGCCACACACACATTTCATACATTGCTTGCTAAGCTGTCAGTTGCATTACAACAATAACATCACAAACATCCGTCAGCAATATATCGTCGCGTGCATGCCTCAGGGGCCTTCAAAATGTTTGTATCAACACGTTTTTCAATTGCAATTAAAATTTTAGAACTAAAAAAATATACAGTAGTGGCATTAAAAGCTACAGCTACACATAGAGAGTGTACTTTGAAGCACTGCTGTACCTCAAACTATGCATGCCAACATGCATAGCCATACAGCAGCATTTCACACTCGAGTGTTTGCCTGCTTTGCTATGCGCTCACTTATATGCGCCACAAATGAATGCAGAAAAAAATAAATATAAATAAAAAATGCGAAAAAACTAATGGTAATAATAATAATAAAATACAACAAAATTTAAATGCTAATTAAGATAGCGTGCAACGCCAGTACAATGCCAAGTATCAGCGCCACTGCAACCCGCCCCAAGAAAAGCGCTCGCTCCGTTAATACGCTAAACAGTATTTAATTACTTTTGAAAAGTCAAGCAAACAAACCTGCCATACATGCAAACATACACCAACACGCACGCATTTACATATAGCAACTTTTAGCTACACACACGCTTCCAAGCGAGCGTTTTATATGAGAATTTATTGGCGCACAGCTACAATTTACGCCTGTGTTAGTAACAATTTTCTGGCCAGACAAACGCGACAGACAACGAATGAAAATTCTTATTGCTACAATGTTGCAGTTGTTGCTGTAAATAGCTGTAACGCTATGATGGACCAGTAAGCGTGTACTCGTACCATGCCTGCTATTTTGCTATGTACTACGGACTTATTATGCTTGTTATTAAAAAGTTTTTATTCTCATGTTTTTATTTTAATTTGTTGTTTTTGTTTTTTTTTTTGCTTTGCTGTTGTTATTGTTTTAAGTTCTCGTGCACTTTGTCGCTTGCTATTTGTCTGTCAGTCAAGGCATAATTTTTGTTCTTGGTTTTTTCGATTTTATTGCACCGACAGCGTGTTGTTGTTGTTGTTGTGCTAATACTACAGCTCTGTCGTGTGTTGTGCTTTAGTTGTTGCAAACAATTTGTTGCTTGTCGTGCAGTTGTCGAAAAATTGCTGACTGCATTATGTAAGTGAATTGCTGCTGCAGCAGATGAATTGTTGTGCAGATTTATTGAGTGAATAGTTAAATGCAGCAATAAGAAATAAAAATAAAATTTTCAAAGGGGCAAGAGTGGGTTTTATATTTGCATTGAGATTTGCAAACCAAAAAAAAAAATAAATAAATAAAAATTAAAACAAAAAATTAATAAAAATAATTGTATGATACAAACAAATAAATGTATACATGCATGCAAGTAAATATATATTAACTATACTTGTCTATATTTACGTAAGTGTATGTATATTTTTGCACGTTTACCGTTATTTGCTCACTGCTGCTCATTTAAATGTCGTGTTTTATGGTAATTTTATTCTTTTATTAATTTATATGTTTATAATTTTACAAGTGGGCGAATTAAAAGCGCCGCCCAAGTCAGATAAGTTATCTGTTAGATATTGAGATAGTAGTTCGGCAGTTTCGAGCTGTTGAATGTCGCAGAAAATTTGCTAAATAATGATAAGGCTTATTGTAAACGCTAATCTAAACAGCAAAACTATCATACGAGGTATGTTCAAAAAATAACGGAAATTTTCGTTTTTTTCCAATTTCTTTATGTTTCTACATTAATATTGTACGCTTTTAATGTCATCTATGCTATGGACGTATAAGTCTTTAAGGTGCTCTCTATTTTTCGAAATAGCAAAAAGTCACATGGAGCCATATCTGGTAAATATGAAGTCTAAGACATCGTTACAGAATTGTGTTTGGGCAAGAATTTACGATAAAACAAAGAAGTTTGAGCTTTTCACAAATCAAAATCGCCAAGCTCATAAAAACATGTCCATCCTTAGCGGCCGCTACAGGCAAAATAAGCAATGAATACAGCTGTGAATTTTATCGCACTTCAGGGGCATGTATGTATATCAAACTAAAACAAAAAAACTTTGAGAATTGGACTCTTCAAGCTTAGAAATTTTAATTTTAAATTTGTGTTATTTTTTGAACAGGAGGTACACATTAGTGCCGATATATTTAAACTGATATTTAGATTTCAAATAAGATAAGTCATTGCTATTTTCAGCAACCGCCGCTACATATTGTTTGAGTGAAAATATAACATCGAGTCTCGAAAAGATTTTTATTCAATCGCCAATTGTCAGAATTATATAAACTTAACTTATTTCAAGAATATTGTATAAAAATTTTGAGCCGATTGCAGCACGTTTCACATGAGATTATGATAGCTTGTAAGTCTATGTAGACTATTTTTTATTTTGTTTGAGATAGCAGGGGCTTCTAGAATCACCGTCGCCCAGTCACCAGCTCAGCAATCGCCATTTTGTAGCAATATGTTAATATAAAGTTTTTTTGTGCACCCAATTGAGAAAAATAAATTCAATCCCTTCACATTACACACAGAATAAACTGTCAAAGTCAGAACTTATATTTAAGAACTCCAGACTGGCCTAACGCCTCAAGCAAACATTTCAAAACTCAAAAATTTATTTTGTCTGAATTTTTTAGTACTCAAGTAAATCAAGTTTCTAAATTGTTCGCATTTAAAATTATATGCAAGCAGCTGACACTTAAAAACT